AGGAAGGAGCTGATAATTCAGACTTTTTAGAAGATGAGTAACAAGCTGGTGGGTCCACTGGGAGGTGTGGATGAGGCAAAATCCTGCTCCTGCCTCCCACCCGTGTGACCGCTCCAGACCTTCTGGTTTTCACATGGAAATCCTCCTGAGGGAAATCCACCCACCACTGCAGGGCGTCACAAGCCCTCACACGGCTTCAGTGCAAGACACCCAGCACCCCGGCACCACCTTGGAGGGTTTGAACCCCAACACCATCCCACACCTCTTTTCAGCCTCCCCTCTTCTTCGAAACCTCATCGCACGGCACAGCTCCTTTCACCAAGGTCCTGCTCTTCTCTGCCTTCCCCTACTCCCCTGTCTCCTCTCCCATCTCTTCTCTCGCACCTTCAATGGAGCTCATCTTCTGAGCAAATCACACCATACCACTGGTAATTCCCGACACACACCAAATGCAGCCATGCAACTGTTTTGTATGCACTGTTAGGAGGTGCATTTTTTTTTAATATTCTGTGCAGTCTAGCACCTTGTGTCCACCTCACCTATTGAGGCTACGGGCCTAAAGCTGTGTTCGTACAGGGCCTGGCACAACAGTTCTCCCTCCCAGTCAGCCCTTCCTGCATTAGCCAGCGTAATAAAAACAGCATGTGTTGGGTAAGAGTGAATCAGTCTCTCCTTTAAGCATGTCAAAAATCTGGAGGAGTCTGACAGAAGAAAACAAAAAAAAAGAAAAAGAAAAGGGAGAGAAGAGGCAGGAGAGAAAGGAAACAAAATGGAGGAGATGGTTTTCACCAGAAGCAGCATTCCTTCTGAGGTGTAACACCCTCTCCTGACACTGCCACCCTTCCCCAACAAGATCAGCCTAGAAGCAGCCTTCCTCTCCTTCACTCCTATAACACTTGTGTGGTTTTTTTCCCCCTCCCTAGATTAGTTTTAACATTTACTTCCTGTCTGCCCAGTCTGGCGCTTACATGCAAGAAGCAGCACCTTAATGGCGCTCCCTTCCTGACGGGAGTATCACAGGCTTCTGCTCTTACTACGTGTTCGCTGAGCACCAAGTGGTATTTAAATCATTTTCACTTCTTTTCTGCATCTTCCCACCTGCCAGCAGCAGTCACAGCCTCCAACGTTATATACTTCCTTCTTCATTTTGGGACTGAAATAGTTCATAGTGCGGGCTGTAACAAACTGTTACACCCTCACTGCTAAATACACCGTGACAGTGAGGGGGCCCACGTTCAGCCTTGAAAACACAAACCACCCAAAGTATACAGGGTGAATGATTTCTTCGGCATACCTAAGGCACGTTTTGGTTGAGAAGTCAAAAGATTTTAAAAGCAGACTATTTTCCCTTACACTTTTATCGACACATGCATAATCCCCCTCTACTCTCTCAGTCATAGCTCTAGGGTTTTTTCTAGTTAAAAATGAAAATAAAAACAAAACCTGGGAAGTGCCGAGCAACAACTCACAGATGATTCAAAAAGCTTTGGATGCAACTCAGTGGAAATTCAGGTACAGCTTGCTAGTGGCTTGAATGCCAAATGAAAACAAAGACTCATCTCGGTCAGGAAGACCTCAAAAACATTTAAAGGCTGCTCTTACATAGCAGCGAATATACTCTGAGACACCTTTTCCTACATGGCTGTCACATAAAGCACATATACATCATGCATGAATATTTGTATCACACCTATCATGGGGGACACTGCCTATGTGACTCTAAAAAACTAAGTTTTATCCTTCTTCCAACAAGATGGAACCAGCTAGCTTACCCCCCGGCAGCTGATAAACCGGGTTTGCAAATGCTACACCCATGTCTGAGAAATCACTGTTACCCTACATACAGAGCAGAGATAAATTACCACTGTGTTAAGAGCAAAGAGGTGCCTACCCTGGAGAATCTTGATCCCATTTCACACACAAGGTGCCATTCTTGCTCTTCTCCCCAGCAAGCCCCATCAGTACTTCACAGCCTCAACATCTCGTGGCCCTGAGCGACCACGGAGGTGAGTTGCCAGCTTCCCTGCTGCAAGACACTGTGTGTCAACAGGATTACTCAGATTATTAAGAATTAAATGCACAAAGAAGTACTTTCAGCTGAGTCAAGGCCACAACATTCAATACTTGGAAGTCTCAAGGCCCTTTACTGACCCAGGATAACATAGAATGGGGGGGA